CGTATTCGGAACCAAGAGATATTCGGATTCATCATCCGGATACGTATCCATATTCCATGTGTGTGAAATCATAATAATACGCAACCGTAAATACACCGCGACCTTGGGTATCGGAACCGGGCAGTGTTGTCAACCCTAGCAGAATTTATGTTTGAGAAGCTTTTAATGTTTTAGAATAATAAACAAGATAAATCTCAAATATTTTGTTTTTTTATCACAATATCAGAAACAACATTTCTCATTAACTGAATATTATTTATATTTATACAACTTCATGTTACCTTTAAAATATGCTTAGTTCATGCCGACTAACCGACTGTGAATTGCAACAACGCTAGACGATTCCGAATTCGTATCGGCTGCCACCCTCAATCGGCTCTGTCATGAACACAGAACATGAAGCATTCGATTCGTGTATTACGATTTTGTTTCTGTCCTTTTTGATACCGAATCCATATTCGAATTTGCACATTGATTCCGAAATATCCGGATCCTTTTAATATTCGGATTCAACGGATTTTTGAATACGTATTCTTACATCACTACTTTTGACACATGAGAAAGATATTTTAATTATTCTGATGTTATTTTTTTCCGTTTTTGTATGCATTTTGTATTAAAATAAGATATTTTTAGCCGTTTTGAAACCATATACTGCGGAAGCTCACGATGTTTAAACTTTTTGGATACGTACACTACTATATATCCTCTCAAAAATCCCCCACCTCTTTTAAGCTCCTTCGATATTCACGCTCTGTACGGTACAATAGTTATACCCGAGAGGTACTTATATTAAACTCACAACACTTCATGATATACATAGCAATTACTATACATAATGTACTTACACTCATACCACTTCATTGTGTTTGAAGTAATGGGGAGTACTTACTATAACTTATTACTCATGATATACATACAAGGTACCTATATGTGAATGGAGTATTGAAAAGTATTTGCTATGCTCATTATACATTGAAAGTTTCTTACTATGCAATTAGACTCAGTACAGTGGGTTCAGAATTGGGAAGTACTTGTTAACTAAATCCCCCACTTTTTCCAAGTTCCTGCCTCGATATTCATGCCGGGTATGCTTGCGCCCGGCCGGTTCCTCACTCTAATCATGGTGGTCGAGAGTCAAGGATGTGCGGACTTCATCCCCCATTTATGTCTATTATTTAGAATGTACTTAGGATACAAAATGCTATATACGCTACAATAGTAATAACCAAGAGCTTCTTAAATTACTCATTACACTTCATGACATGCATAGAAATTACTATATATACAAGGTAGCTACACTCATTACATTTCAATGTGTATGGAGTGATGAGAAGTACTTATGATATTCATTACACATGGTGTATAGGGTATCTGAAAAATACTTACTATGCAACTCATATTCATAATATACAAGCCTGAGAGGCACCCGCTAATTTTGTGAAGAATGGGGAACTATCCCTTCCACCGATGTTTACGTCTTGCGCATCTGCTGGAGACTAGTGCTTCACTATAGATATGACGGTTGAGGGTCAAGGATGTGTTTAGGTATGCTCCGACGTATTTCCCCTATGCTACAATAGTAATCATTGAGATGTACTTAGACTAAACTCATTACACTATATCCTATACATAGTAATTACTATCTAAGAGGTACTTACTATGCTCGTTACATGCTACCCGATATACATAGTAAATACTTACATCTATATATGTATGAAGTAATTACACCCATTACACTATGCATACCCTGTGGGTAATTGGGAGGTACTTATTATGCAATTACAATCATTACAGTATGGCGTGTACATGGTAATTGGGAGGTACTTACTGTGCAATTGCATTTATTACAGTACATGATGTAATTGGGAGGTACTTGCTAATTACGCGTCTATCTCTGGCGCAGGCTAAGCACTCTAGGCACGCCGGCCGAGAGTTAAGGACGTGCTGCCAACAGTAATCACTAGGAGGCACTTAGATAACATTCACTACACTACATTGCATACAGTAATTACTACCTAAGGTGTACTTACACTTTAATATGTATGGAGTAATGAGATGTATACCCTGTGGGTAATTGGGAGGTACTTATTATGCAATTACAATCATTACAGTATGGCGTGTACATGGTAATTGGGAGGTACTTACTGTGCAATTGCACTTATTACAGTACATGATAGTAATTGGGAGGAACTTGCTAATTGTGCGAAGGGTGGGGGTGGGCACTTAGGATAATTACTAATTACCCAATTACCTGTCTCTGTACCTCTGACCTTGGTCCAAAACTGGCTAATCTCATCTACTTATGTGTAATTATCTTAGATTGAAGAGACCAGAGATGTAACATGCACCCGTGTTTAACCTGCGCGAATGTTGCCTATTTTTAAAGAAAGGTTATGGTTATATGAATAAGGATAATTTACTGACCGTAGTAGAATTTTATATAAATATGGTTATAGTTATCGGAGTGGGGTACTGGGAGGAGACTCGAACTCTGCGACAGGGACAGAATTGATTAATTACCACCATAATTGAACTATTGGATTTACTTAAAAGATGATTGATGGAATGTTGTATTATGAAATAAAATTAACGTGATTTTTTAATATCAAACAGATGTAAAGAGAATATTTCGTTAGCGTTTATTTACTACGGACTTTTCTGCAAGAGACTACAATAAAATGTTGAAATAGAATAATGTTAATCGAGCAAGAAATGGTACGTACTACGTACTCATTGTCTATGAGTATTGTAATAGCAGCATGTGCGCAGGCGAATACTTCAAATCAAACCTTGTGAGTTGTACATTATATTTTTTCTACGGCTAATACATAATATTAATAATTAATCAAAATGAGAAAATGCTGTTTTGTATTGTAACCTCAGAAAAAGGGATATTAAAGCTTCTTCCTTTAGGAAAATTGATTAATATAGAGGATTTGTCACATAAAACTCTAGAAAAACATATTTATGAAACCTGATAACATTTAAAAATTTAAACCTATGAAAGTCATTCGGTCACTAGGGGTGGGCGATTATCGAAATTAATTATCAATCATTGAAAATAATCGATTATTTTCAAACAATATTTGTTTTGTATTTCTTTTAAAATCGATTATTCGATTATCTTTGAAAAATAGGAAATAATCGATTTATTAAAATAACGATTAACCGATAAATCGGTGTGTCCATAAAATTATAAACGAATTATCGATTATTTTCAAATATAACATATTTTTATTTTCGTATTTCCTTTGAAATTGATTATTGGATAAAAATCGAAAATAATAGATTAACCGATACACCGATAAAAAAAAAATAACCGAATTATCGATTATTTTCGATGAAACGATTATTTTTAAATAATCTATTTTTTTCCGTATTTCCTTTAAAATAAATTATTCGAATACCTTTTAAAAATCGAAAATAATCGTTTAATCTAAAATAATCAATTTATTAAAAAGCCGTTTATACGAAAAATCGATTTTTCTAAAATAAAATAACCGAATTATCAATTATTTAAAATAATCGATTATTTCTGATTATTTTCAATAAATTTATTTTTCTTTTGTATTTCCTTTATGATCCATTATTCCAGTATCTTTGAAAAAAACTAAAATAATTTATTTAAAATATTCGATTAACCGAAAATAATCGATTAATTATAACCGATAAATCGATTTTCATAAAAAAATAATCGAATAAACGATATTATGTTTAGGGTTTTATAGTGTAACATTTTAATAGCAATGTGACTAACTCCCGTAATTTTAGTATTTCTTTTTGCTTATACTAGATCACTTGAATGTTTTACTTTATTTTAAGAATTAAGGTTTAAATGTCACTTCCGATTTGACCGTAAATAAGATAAACTTTTTGAAATTTTAAGTAGGTCATCCTGTATTTTATCTAATATTCTTATAAAACTACGTTAGCAACAATGCCTATTTACTTCTTATTTACATATGACTAATTTAAATGTTAAACATTTTGCCCTATTGTAAATTTATGTAAGTACTATGAAATATGTTTTCTGAAATATTTGACGGTTAATATCTCTTAAAGCAGATCTGAAATATTCAGCCTGGATCATGACGACTTCATATCAAAACGTTAATAAATATTTATCGCCGGAAACGAATATATTTCTTATATTATTTCATAAAATTGGCACTTATAAGTACATATAATTTTTCACAATACATCGTTGCATTTTCAACTTGAAATTAAATAACTAAAACACTTTAAATTGCTAATAAATAATTCAAAAAACGGCGGTCCATGATGATTCAATGCACGCGGAGATGAGCGGAGATGAGCGTAGAATAGAAATGTCGGAGCTATTCGGGTGGCGTCGTGGAAACATCTCCGGTCTATTTATTCTAAAGTAATTACTTACAGGATAAAAACGTAAGTATAAGTTTTGGTCAGTCCCCTATTTATGGACCACCCTGTATATTTAAGAATAATAATTGTTAAATATATCATATTTATATTAAAAATTCTCCGTATTTCCAATAACAAAACAGATCTCGATCAATTACGCACTAATTAATGGGACACACTATATATGAATACATGCTAACATGTAGGTATTGTTAAAACAATATATAAGGTGTTGCGTTTGAAAAAATTGCATAAATTGAATTAGCTATATTTAAAACATGTTTCAAAACACTCTGTATAAAATGAACCAGTTCTATCATCATTTGTTAGACTTGTTTTTTATAAGTCTGTATTTTAAACAATTTTGAAATCATTGCTAACATTCCTAAATTATGATAACTTTATTTGAGATCTGCGTCATTCTCCAATGACACAAACAAAATTAATGGCTTGGCAACCCTGAAATATTTTTGAAAAATATTTTAGAGTTGAATACTCGCACAGTATTACCAGACCATTTAAAAATTGAAATAAAATATACACTAACTAGCTGACCCGATCCCGTTTCGCTGGAATTTCCCAAACCTCAATTTAAAAGTGAATAACAGTTTTCGTTACTCGAGAGAAACTTTTTCATGCGATACCTGAAAAAAAATTATCAATTTCATTTTTATTAGTTTCATTTTTATTTTTTAATTTTTTATTTATTTTTACAATATCCCCCAAACCTTGAAGTACGTCATTATTTACTTACTACAATTCCAGTTTTCAAGTTCCTACCTTTAAAAAATCGATACCCCCATACAAACTTTGACCCCCACACCTCTCTCCTATTTTTCTTCTTTCCTCATTTCCCCTCTTTTCCCCATTTCCCCTATTTCCCCTCTTAAAATATGAAACCTGAAACACACCATTATTTATTTGTGATGAGCTGCTATAATACCAATTTTCAAGTTACTTCCTATAAAAAAATTGATACTTCCATGCAAACCTTCAACCCCCATTTTCCCAATAATTGAGATTAAAACTATTATCTTGTCTTTTAAGTTGGACCAAATTACAGATAGTTACGAAGTTTGATCAAAATCCGTTTAGTAGTTTCGGAGTTTATCGCGAACATACATCTTGACACGAAATTTTTTTATATATAAAAAACATTTAATTTACAATAATAAATATTGAATAAAAACTATCCTATCTTTTAAATTGGACCAAATTACAGATAGTTACCAAATTTTATTAAAATCCGTTCAGTAGTTTCGGAGTTTATCGCGAACATAAATATGGGCACACTAATGTGTCTGTAAATCATTTTTAAAAACCTTATACAAAACTAAATATAACATACCTTTTCGTCCTTCTTTTTATTGTCTTGTTCTCTCTCTTTCTCTCTTGTGATTTTCCGCATAGCATTTTTCATATCGACAATTTTTTTATTTGTATCAGGATCGATGGGAATTTTTGCCTAAAATTTATTGTTATCATTTGATAATTTGTAAATGTATCCTTCTTTAAGGTGATTACAGCACCCCCTTATAATTTTCGGACAATGATATCTCAAAAAGCAATTTTTTTAAAAAATTAAAATTTTGGCAAAATAAATTAGGCAATAATATCTAGAATATGCATATATTTTAAAGTTTTAATTCCTTTCAGTTTTTAAGAAAAAAAATTAAAGGTCTTTAAATTTTGAAATATCATGATGAAAATAAATGCATTCCTCTACAGCAGTATTCTTATTTTAATCCCAAAATTTAAGCTCTTAATGTCTTGTTAATTATTTTTTAAAATTCGCAAAAATTAGTGGGTAAACTGCCTCGTTAAGTGCTATTTTCTGGTGTAAACTGGTGTAAACTAGTGTAAATCATTTCAGAAAACGAATGATAACTGATAGTCTACGATACGATAGTTACAGTCGCGTTTCAACAGAAGACAGCACTTAACGAGGCTTTTACTTTACTTTAAAATCTCTTTATTTACATATTTACTATATACATGTCATTGAATAGGGTATAAACATACAAAGATATTATTCTCACTCGCGAAACTACGAGTAGAAGCATCTTCGCGTGCCCGGCTGTCTGAGCGAGACGCCCTAGCCCGAAATACCGAATATCCAATTAATAATTGATGAATTTGTCGTGCCATCTCCTTATCGAACGATATTATATGGCAATATTGACGAGTTTGCGATCGATAATTGAATGTTGTGTTAGTTTTTGTGGGAGTTTACTTGTGATTGTCTTCCCTGGGAAAAACTTTGAAAAACCAGGGTTGTTCTTGTATGTATGTGTGTCATTTTGTATAGTCTATGTCTGTGTATAACTATTTTACTTGACTGGATGGTGAAATCCGTCTCCAGCGAGGGGATCGTGCCATAGATAAATTAATAAAATTATTAATTTATCTATGGATCGTGCCGAACGTGGCAAGTCGCAAGCCTACTTTCAAAATTCTTTATTTAAAATATTTACAAGTATATACATTTATAATACATTCTAATACATAATTTACAGAAGGATTTCTTCTCGTGATGCTCCGTGAAGTGTTCCGCTCTGCGATGGCTCCTAGAAGGGGCCATGACCGTTGTTGTGGCCGTGTATTTGACCGTATTACAATTAACAAATTATGAGTGATGTGACTTCTCCTTATTGAAGCAATATTATAAGTCAATTTGGATGAGTTTGATAGGTCAATAGTTGTAAAGTGATGAGTTTTTGTCTGAATTTACTTATGTTTGTTGTCCCTGAAAAACCATAGTAAAAAACAGGGTTGTCCTTATATGTATGTGCGTCATTAAGGGTTGTTAGGGTAGGTTAGGAGGGTGATTAGCCCAATCTCAAGCCTCCACAGTGTTAGCCACCGACCAAAATCCAATTTTCGACGGGTCGTTCATTCATTTTCATTCATTTCAAAAAGGCTTTTATTTACAATATATACAAATTTTTTTATAATAACAATCTATTTACATTATATGTGTAGGATATCTTCTTACGTCTTCAAAGAAGTATTCTCTTCCACTTTGATCCAGATAGACCATGGCCGATGTCCTGACCGTGTAAACAAAGGTTAATATTTAATATTTGAGTACTAGTGACTACTCCTTGTTGTAAAACAACATTATTAGTCAATTTTAGTGATAACTAGAGCGATAATGGGACAGTATTAGGTTTTTGTGTGATTTTAATTGTGTCTGTATTTCCCTGAAAAACCGTTCGTAAAAAACAGGGTTGTCCTTGTTTGTAAGTGCGTCTTGTGATAGTTTATGTACGTGAAAATTCGAGTTACACGACCGCACAGCGGCGTCACAGCCTCGCACAAAAATCTTGGCAGTCCACGAGTTTTGCACCAGGCAGTGACGTCACCGTGCAGTCTTCCGTCCGACCAAAGTTGCTGTCTAGTCTGAGTTGTAATTCGAATATTCAGTGGGTTTTACGCTGCTAAGGTGGATGTGTGTCATTTGTTGATTTTATATTATCATTATCCGTCGTTTGTATAGATCTTGAGTGCTCTATGCAAACATCCATGTTTTCTAGTTAGACCATCCCCTTGATGTATTGATGTTATGTCCTCCTTGAGTTCTGGGGGGAGACATTTGTCATAGAATTTCTCAGATATGCGGAGAATATGGTCTTTTATAGTGTCCATGGATGTTTGAATATGCATGTCTCGAATTCTGGCATAACGGTCATACCCCAACGCCAGTCGAAGACACCTGTTTTGTTGAATTTGTAATGCATTGTAATGAGTGTTCGCCATCGAACAGAAGACTGGACTTCCATATGTAAGAATTGGCCTTATAACCTGCTTATATAAGAGGAGCTTATTACTTGTAGTAACACCACTTCTCCTATGCAGCATGGGGTATAAGGCTTTTATTGCACCCGTAGCCAGTGCACATCTATTTTCAATGTGTTTTTTGAACGTTAGTCTCCTATCTAGTACGAAACCAAGGTATTTCATGGTATTTTTTGTTATGATTTCCTGACCTTGCACTTTTAGGTTGGTGATAATACCCTCCTGTTTTTTATGCGTTAATATAAGACTCTCAGTCTTGGAGGGATTTATTTTAATTTTGTTGGCTTTAAAATAGGGGACTAACGTTCTGTTGACATGAATGTCCAGCCTTCTGGTCGCAATTTCCGCTGAATCCGATGTTTTGAATATACAGGTGTCGTCGGCGTACAGAGCCGTCTGTATACCATTCTGTCCCATGGGAAAATCATGGGTCATGATGGTATACAGATGCGGCGCAAGTACCGAACCTTGAGGTACTCCCGCTTCTGCTGTGTAGGGTCCATGTCTCGAATTATTGATTTTGACGTAGAATTTACGGTTGAGTAAGTATGTTTGTATTGTTTTTACAATGGAAACAGGGTAATCATTCACAAACATCTTGTAGATTAACCCATCGGTCCAGACGGTGTCAAACGCCTTCGCAGCATCGAGCGCGACAAGCACCGTTTGTTTGTCTTGATTCATAGCCTTTTTAGCATGATGTGTTATACGGAGTACTTGCGCAATCGTACTGTGTCCGGCTTTGAAACCGTACTGTTCCGACGGGATAATCGGGTTGTCCTGTTCGTATGTATGTAGCCTCGTGAGCAGGACACGATCTGTGATTTTGGCGATGCCACTTAGAAGAGAAATGGGGCGATAGCTCTCAATATCGAATCTATTTTTACCATTTTTGTGTATCGGAACGACATTAGCAACTTTTAATGCGTCCGGATACCATTGTAGTTTTAAAACGGCATTGATGATGTAATGTATTTGAACAAAGGCTTTTTTTGATAGATTTTTCAAAAGTTTATTATGTATATTGTCAGGTCCCGGAACCCTCTTACTGGGGGTCCTTTTGACTATTTCTATTATTTCTTTTGGTGTTGTTAACATGTTACTTTCTATTTTTTGTATTGGAAGATTTTTAATATCTTGTACTATATTGCGAATTTCAGTCTGTTTATTGTCATTTACTTGTGTATTCCTAAAATTATTTTGAAACATTTCACCGAAAGCAATGCATTTTTCTTGGTCAGTCGAGTATGTGTTGTTGTTTTGTTTCAGTGTGGGAAGCTGCGAAAACGGCTTTCTAAACCGTCTCACAGTTTTCCACACTGAGTTGTCTTTTACGTTAATCGCTTCCAGAGTTTTGCGCCATTGTAGGTTTCTATATTCTTGGATTTCTTTATTTATAGCTTTCCCTAGTTCTTGGAGCAAAACCCTGTCAGCGGCCTGTCTTTGCGCCTGCCAGCGTCTTCGTATTTGGTTTTTGTTTGTTATCAAGTCTAAAATCTCCTGAGGAAGATCATCTTTATGAGGTTTATGTGTTATTATTTTTGTAGATACATCTCTGGCTTTGTGTATTGCCTTTATTAGTTTATTTAGTTCTTCCTCAAGAGAGTTTCTGTCAGTAATATTGTTTGTAATTGTTATGTTACTGTCCAGTGTCTTCCTGTACTTTGTCCAGTCCGTCGTGTTGTAGTCGTGATAACGACCCTGCATCCTTGGAATCGGACACGTAGTGCCAATCTCCAAGTATACAGGATCGTGATCCGATGTCAGTGTTTTGATTGTCCTTGTTTTGTTTATGTTTGGTAGGTTTTTGGCAGCCGCTATGTCAATGGTACTGGGTAGGTATGTG